AAACAAAGAGAGTTCAATAAATGATGTTGTTGTAAACAAATGAAAATTGCAGGTGGTACAAAATACAATTGTTCCTCTGGCTCTAAATCATAAGGAATGTCAATCATCCATATTGTCTCCATGCCCCTACCTAAGCTAAGTTATCTTATTCTCTCTCTTGTCATAGACCCATCACATTCACATTCACATAAAGCCTAGTTACCTTCAAGTGGGTCCCATCAGCAGGGTCTTATGGGTCCCACCTTATGTTAATAACTTTGAAATTATTTGGTATAACCATAGGGTACCAATGATATTTGAAAATGAAAGAAAATGTTGTGTTTTTGAAAAAAGAAAATTAAGAATGAAATTTTTTAGGTTAAATTACTTGGAGATCAACTAGATGTTGAATGTGGGATTTATATACATATATAAGTATAGAGACAATATATACTTGATACTTGAGGCACTATATATATGATGCAAATCGATAATTCTATTGGGGACACATGAATAATAGTATTGCATTCGATCAAGTGTTGTTTTTAACATCAATTATCACGAGGTGTAAATGTTACATTTAAAGAATGACATAATAATAATAATAATAATAATAATAATAATAATAATATACTTCTTCTGTTTTCTTTTAAATGCAACACACTTTTTTGGCACGCACTTTGAGAAAGAGATTAAGCAATGTAAACGGAAAAATTAATCAATATAATTTATACGCGTAATAACTAACCCTTTTCTAATTATAGTGTTAAAATTATTTTGTTAAATTCGCTCGTTTGCCTACTCTAATCAACTCCTAAAAAAGCGTGTCAAAAAGATATGTTCCATTTAAAAGAAAATAGAGGATGCAAAGATGACTTTTCATAAGGGATTTCACCATTCAATAATTAACATCAATAATTATTCTTTACTTACCCTACTCTTTATCCTTGTATGTCTATGGAGATAGATAGAGTTAGAGCAAATAAACACCAAAATAAAGAATAACATAGTAGGGTAATAAATCAGATGTATGTTACAAGCATATTACTTCGTATTATGCATGGTTAATGGTAGAATCAACCAGCCATGCAAACACCCCAAAAGGTCAAGAGTCTATTAAAAAAAAAACGAACATGTTTAAATTAGTGGGCTTTCTATTAGTTTATCCCCCTTAACAATCAAGTCTGGATTTCGCCTCTATTGTATTGTGGCTTTCTCTCCTATCTTTTCTCATTCTGAACATCAAGTAACTACTCCTAATAACCAAAACAGCTGTGTGACTTGTACCCTTCATCACTTTTCTAGCTATCCACTCTTTCTCTTTGTCCTTCTCAATTCTCCCCTTTTTCCCCTTATATTTTCTACACTAGTACAATGGTGAAAGTGATATACTAGGTCAAAATCTCACAGTCAAGAGATCAAAATAGAACTAACTTACCATTTTAGTTTTTGTTTTTCCTCCACCCCAAATCAGTTGCTAGTCATGTTACATAGGTTATATGATTTGAATTAACATACAATTCATCAATGTAATAAAATTAAGTCTAGGTGAAGGTAATGCATAATATTACCTACACTTACGGGTTTGTTGTAACTGACTTGTATGCGAGTAACACCATGAAATTAAAAAAAATTGTAACGATTAGAAAAAATGTATTCCGTAGTAGATAAAAAATACGAGTAATGCCATGAAATTAAAAAAATAGTAAGTGGGTCCTAATAGCATATTTACATCCATTTTGACATGTGATATATGGGCCAATAATATTCTTTTTCTTCTGTAGTATAATTGGAAGAATTCTCCCCTAACTGTTATTGTTCCGCCAGGATGATGTTATCTGAAACTTTATTATAAATAGAGTTTGGTTCAATTTTCGTTGGCATTGAAAAGAATAAGCACAAATTTAGTTAAACATAACTATTAACCTATCAAATTCCAACCTTTTAAAAGACCTTATGTTAAAGAAGAAACAATAATAATACTAATAAGCAGTTGAATTATTGTAACACGTCAAAAAAATTGATAAAAAACCTTGTCAATCAAATTTGACGCATCAACCTTAAATGTAATTATAACCAAATTGTCAGAACAAAATGGTTGCAGTAATAATAATGATAAAAGTTACTTATAATATAACTGTTGATTGATATTACAAGGTATGTTAATTTACACCGTACCATGCTATTCATGCATCTATCTATTTTGGTGTCGGGATCCTCTCTTGTAACTAGACGGTTCAATAATTAGGAAAAATGGCTAAATACAGAGTACTTTGTAATCGGTATAAAGATATTTAGCGTATTAGTTTTGTATTTGTATTTGCGTAAATGACATTAAGTTTAGTGTATGGCTAGCTACATGATGTATCTATGTGTATTTATAATAGTAATCTTGAATTCTTTATTCATTTGTATGACTAACCTCGTTAATTTATAAAGATAATCTTATTTTGTCTATAAAAATAACCTATATTCATCATTATACAAGTAACATCAATTAATTTTAAAGAAGGAACTCTATTTGATCATCTGATTGAGTAACCCCTCTTCTTTTTTATTTAAATAATAAAATAATAAAGCAACTCTAGGGTGGCGGGATGTTGTGGGATCCATGGGAAGAACCTCAACCACTTTCTTTTCCTGGTTGCAAACAATTTCAGGATTATAGGGAATGCATAAAAGGATCATATAATACTGTTTGGAATCATTTATAACTACTATTAAGTCATAATAATCCTGTGGTGGCACACTGGTATATGTGAACCGTGTAACTAGCCAAATATAAGAAGATGCTATTAAAAGTGACTTAAATAGTTTTAATGCACTCGCAATTAAGCTTTATATGAAGTACTAAATAATAATTGAAAATATTAAATAATTAGTTACTCGTATTATCGTATACATTAACAAACGTAAAAGTGTTAATCAAAATCGAATAAAGGCTTTTCACTAGCAATATCTATTTTGTTTGTGATAATCATCCAGTGGTTATTGATAGTAAAAGAGGTAAGATCTGTCACCAGTTTATTTATGGAAGTGTGAACAGTGAGTTGATGTGAATGTAACAGAAGAGACTAGTTTGTTTGTAAGGACCCACAAACTCACACAATTAACACAATATCTAAATTTAATTTCTCTCTTTATTTAAATTAAAAAAACAAAACAAAACAAAAGAAAGAAATTGAGTGAAAGTTTAATTAGTTAATTTTCTCTCTCTAAAAATTGGTTAATCTTGTTCACAAACTCTGAGCCCACCCGACCAGTGTCTCACCCACCAAAGCAATTGCTGGGCAACATTGCATTTTTTGCACCCTATTTTGTTTCCCCTAGGATATTTTCACCCTTTTTTACTTTAATTTATTTTACTTTCTCTCTCTTCTTTTGGTAAATAAATTAATTGGAGTATAGAAAAACTTTAGTGTATATTCCTTGGTATATTAATTAATAACGACTGCTCTCATTTTAGAATTTTTAAGATACATTTTACTGCGTCAAATATGTTAAAAGTTACGTATCCAAGTTTAATATACAATATACAAAGTTTAGTAAATAAAAATAAGGTGAATAAGAGTATAGAACATATCTTTAATTTCATTGACCGTTCCCTCTTAAAACAAAATTTATTTATTTATTATATTATTGTAAAATTTATGATGATGAAGATATGCCGTGCATCAACTTAAATAGAAAGGATCGTCATTCACTAATTGTTTAAGATATAGATTGAATTAAAATGTGAAAGTAATCATTATTAACTTTATTGTAAAATGCTTAATAGTGATATTTTATGGTGGTAATATAGTTTCAAAAATAATGATAAGATTTTTTACATGCCCTTGTGGCGCACCGTCTTACTAATCAATTTCATATTCGGTTTTTTTCGCTATACGATTTTCTCACCCATATTATTTGTAAGAATACATAAGTCTGGCCTATTACTACGCGAGTATAGCTCGATTATCACTTAATGGAAAAATGTATTCTGTATACTCTTAATTATGGAGTATTACATTATTGAACTACTCCATGTATAATGTCTATACAATACGTGTAGCTATTCTCTTTGACCAATTATATCATTAATAAATAATACACTAATACAAAAAATTTAGAGGCATGCATAGTTATATTAATTAATTATGTGAATCAATCGGAGTAGTAATTAATATCAACATAACCATTTTTTTTTTTTTGACTAAAGTGTAATTTTATTTACATTTTCCCCCAAACAAAAAAAGGTTGTCACTCGTGTATCCATATTAGACTTTTCCCATATTTTTGTCTTATAATAACATGTTTGTATGATTGTGAACATTAAGCTTGTGGGAAATGGGTGAAGATTAAAGGGAGACAACCTTCAACCATATTTTTCCGAACTTGTCTTTATTGGCCTTATTTGCTTAACTTCTTCTGTTATTATTAATCTCAAATAGTTAAATATCCATTAAAAAAAAAAAAAAAAAATTAAACTAACACAACCTCTCCATCTTATAGTCAGGAAAAATAACATGCCCTTTGAATCTATACTTCTTTCTGTTTTGACGTATTTAACAAGACAATCACTATTGAAATCAGGAAAACTTTTAAACTCCCTCTAATCTGTTTTAGACAAAGTGCTCTATTTTGACCTTTACATTATTTATATACTTCCTCTATTTTTTTTTTATTGCATCATAGGGTTTTGGAGGCAAAATTTGATAGTGGAAAAAAGTAAGAGAGAGAAACATAAAAATACAAAATAGTCCATGTAATGTAAGATAAAATAAAAAGTAAGTGTGAAAAAGTAAGGGTATGTAGGGTATTTGCAATGTGAACATAGATATTTTTTATCCTAAAAAGAAAATGATGCAATAATAAGTAAACTTCCTAAAGTAGTAAGTGATGCGATAAAAAAAGAATGGAGGAAGTATACCACTTTGATCAATATTAGTGTTTTACATTGATTAAACATAATAATGTGAGTATTTGTTAGAATCACATTGATATATAATTTTCAAATATTAATTTTTTAATAATGTATATGTATTAATACAACGTAATTAAAAAATTACTTATTTGGATACTGAAGGAATAGTGACAGTAATAATTCACACAAATTTTATAGCAAAATAATTTAGTCACTAGTCACAAGTGATATCTTGTCTCTCCTTTTTTACTCAACAAGAATAGCTTTAATTTCCACCTCTTTTGTTCTTTATATATATACATATATGTAAATATAGTTTGAGTCCCACACATTTTTATTTAACCTACCTTCTCCATCATCTTCTTCTTCTCTCTCTTTCATATATTTTGGTGATTATGCTCCCTTCTTCCTTCTACTTTTTTCCCTACCTTTTCTAAATAACCTTTCTTTTTTTTCTTCTTTCTCTCTCTAACTTTCCATTTTCTCTCTCTTCATCCTTTCTAGATTATACTACTACTACAATAACATCTATATATAATCATACCCTTAATCTTTCTTTCTATTATTAATTTCTTTCATCATGTCACATAATCCTTACTTTAATCATCACTATTTCCCCAATATTAATCACTTCTTCCCTAATCATAACAACAATATCATTAACAATAATAACAATAGTAATCCCTATGATTTTAATTTCTTCTTCTCTAATAATAATAACCCTCAAATTTACACAAAATCACCCCCTTCTCCTCCTCTTAGAGAAGCCCTTCCTCTCCTAAGTTCAAGCCCAGTAAAAAACAATCATCATCATAATATTAATCTTAATGAATATGATGATAATAATAATATTAATAACAATAATTACAAAGATGATATTAACAAACATGATCATTATTTAGAGGAGTTTTCCTCTACTAGTGCTCCTATGGATGTGGATCATAAGTTCCTTCTTCATGATGAGGACGACTATGGCGACAACGACAACGATGACGATGATGTTACGGTAACCCTTCACTTAGGGCTACCAAGTTGTCAAGCATCCAATCTAATATCCGCCGCCACGGCTGCCACGGCCACGACCACGACCACGACCTCGATTTCCTCGTGTTCAACTACTTCAGATCATCACAATAACAAGCTGAATCACAACAACAATAGTATGATGATGATGATGATGATGAACAATGATGAGAGTTGTAGATCAGAAGAAGTTACAGTTGCATCAAACTATATTAATATTAATATTAATAATAATGATAATATTAATATTAGTAGTAGTGATAATAATAATAATTCATCATTAATTGGTGGTTATTGCAACTCAATAGGAACAGTTAACAAAGGACAGTATTGGATCCCAACTCCTGCTCAGATTTTGATTGGTCCTACTCAGTTTTCTTGCCCTCTTTGCTTCAGAACCTTCAATCGTTACAACAACATGCAGGTAACAACCTAATCTCGATCTCTCTATATCTCCGTGTTTATGATTATGTTGGTTAAGGATAAGGTAGCGTACATCTGAACCTTCTACTGGTACCTATATACCCAGGTGTCGGTGATTTGATGTTCCGACACCTAGGTTGGTATAGGTGTTGGTGGTGATTTATGGTTGAGGTGGTTAAAGGAAAAGAGAGTGGAAAAAATGAATTCCATTTCATACCCTACTTAGTCTTTTGGTTTGCTCTTTTCATGTTTTGGTGCTCTACTATTCTTATTCCTTTTCTGCTTGTGTACCTTGATTTCAAACTCACTTTTCTTTAATTTAATTAAAAATTAATTTAATTTCCATTCGGTTTTCTATTAAATTAAATAACAATCCTTCTAGTTTATAAGAACATTCAATTGCTTTTTGACTTGTTCTAATATTAGCCTTCAATTAGGGTTTTTCTTGTTCTTTGAAATTGTAAATTTTCAAGTTTTTAAATTTATTGCCATTTCCCTTTTTTTTTTTTTGAATTAAAAGATTGTAAGATTAATTTATTGGGATTAGTAAACAATTGATCTAACTGTTAATGTAGCTTCAGTAGAAAGAGACCCTGGTCCAACTCAGACCAACATTTGTACTTTTTTTTTTTTTTTTTTTTTTTTTTTTTTTAATAATAGTTTTAACTTTTAATTTAATTTTTTACTCTCTCTTTTTATGTTGATTGAACGACACAAGGTGGGCAATATGCACTTTCAATAAACAAAATAAAAATTCTTTAATTTTCTTCTGATGAATCCTTGAAGTTTGTGTTGAGTCTCATAGTTATAGATTTGTGTGCAACTAAAACACACACAAAAAAGAAAAAAAAAACTTTTTTTTTTTAAAACCCTCATTGCTTAATAATTTGCCAAATAGCATTTTTTCCGATTTAATTTTCTTATACATTCTCTCGAACTATGATTATATGTTATGTAAGAGTCCTCATCATATTTCATGATATACAAGTAACATAAAGTTGAAAATTAATGACAAAATTACACTTTGTATGTTGGTTCTATGGTTATTTGTTTAGTGGTTTTACTTTAGTAATCTCCTTTTAAGTACTTTTTGTCTTGTAGGACAGTGCAAAAATATACTAGTAACTAGAGGCTTTATCATCATTTTTCACCTCTAAACCAAAGTAGTAGATTTTTTTTTTTTTTTTTTTTTATAATAATCTTTAAAAAAAATTGTACAAATTAGTGCGAGGTATATAGATTACTCCGTAATATGTACGGTATAACAATTATATATATTGATTTTACAAGAGGTGGTAGCTATTTGGATCAATTCTTTATGAATTATACAGTATATAGCTATATCTTGTATTAAGCACAATGTATTCAACTTGTGAAAGTACAATTGTTAGACATTATGTAAGAAACAAACAATTAATTGTGGTCCCTTGACATAATTTTAAAGAAATTAAAACATCATACATTGTTATTTATTAACCCATGTAGGATGGTCCATCAATAATTAGGGTTACAGAATTAATTATGATCGTTAACTATATTCTAGTACTTCTCCCTTTTCAATTGGGCAATAGTACTAACTAGCTAGGAGTGTTTTTTTCTCAACAAATATTCCTTGTACATTCTTCTTTTATTCACCTCATTTTCATACAACAAGTAAAGCTTAATCTCTCTCCATTCCTAAATAATCGACCATACATTTAATTTAGACCATCTCAAAATAATACTCTATATGTCACTTTCTAAAATCAGTAATATAAGATAAACACTTCAGCATTTTACCCCATATTACATGTAGTGATTCATTGGTATGGTGATCGATATAAAGATTATATTCACAAACAATTAATTACATATATAAAAAAAAAAACCATATCAAATGTGGCCTATTGTTTAAGAGCATATGCATTTTAATCTAGCTTACGTTAGCTTATCTCGATAATCATGCATGGGCTAAAACATACATACACGAGCTTTGAATTACTATGTTTTAAGATATAGGAACATTTTTAAGCTTCAATTAATTCCTTGTTATGTAACCAGGTATCTAAATAAGCTTCTTGGAGAATGAAAACATATACACTGCATTTAATGCAATGTATGAAAAATTTTCATAGAAGTCCTCTTATTTTGGAGCTATTTAATTAAAGCGGCTCCCTATAAAGTATAAACCACCAAAATATTTAGAAAAAATAAAAGAAAAGTATTGACTTGTTGACCCACAATCTTATCATCGATCTTCAAGCTTTGTTTTCCAAAAGTCATCATCTTCCATTGGCTCTATTATAGGACTACTAGCTATGTTACTCCTACTCTACTACTAGTACTATTTTTGTATAGTATACAATACATATAATATGATAAAACATCGACTGTTTAGAATTAGCAAAGTTTTATGCTGGCCGACTTCAGCTAGTTTAATTGGTAAAGTCACAGCCTTGGAAGTTAATATGCACACGCAGTAATATTTGTTTAACTAGTTGCATTGATTGAGTACATTAGTATTACTGAGTATGCATTATTATTATTATTGCTTATATTATTACAACAACATGGAAAATTAAACTATGTGACCTAAGTGATGATTTATGTTATATAGATGCATATGTGGGGGCATGGATCACAATACAGAAAAGGACCAGAATCCTTAAGAGGAACACAACCAACAGCAATGCTAAGGCTACCATGTTATTGTTGTGCACCGGGTTGTCGAAACAACATCGATCATCCAAGGGCTAAACCCTTGAAGGATTTTCGGACCCTCCAAACACATTACAAGAGAAAGCATGGAATAAAGCCTTTTGCATGTAGGAAATGTGGTAAACCATTTGCTGTAAGAGGAGATTGGAGGACTCATGAGAAAAATTGTGGTAAGTTATGGTATTGTATTTGTGGTTCGGATTTTAAGCACAAAAGATCTCTTAAGGATCATATTAAGTCCTTTGGACATGGACATGCCGCGTATGGGATTGATTGCTTTGAAGAAGAGGATGAACCGGCTTCTGAGATCGAACAAGATAACGAGTCGAATCAATGAGAACGTACATGTTTGATCGATGATGGTACGTACGTACGTATGTAGCTAGCTAGGTAGAAGAAGATTGTAGTTGTTGTTGAATTAGGTTTCTTTTAAGGTTTTATTTGTGTATGTAAGGTTTACGTTTAATTTTCCTCTCTTTTTGGTTAATTAGGTTTAAATTTTTTAGCTTAAATTAGTTTTCATTTCTCAGCTCTTTTTTTTTCAGCTATGTAAACAACTCATCAAGAGTTCAAATGCAAATTAAAGTCATAATTCCAAGAGGAAGAACTTTTGTTTGTTGCTTTTAATTATATATATTTCCCAAATTTTAAGTTTTTATGCATGTCTATTATTGTTTAGTCATTTAAAAATGTAACAAAGTATTTTTTTTTAATTTTTTTTTCCTGTATTTTTATAAAGTAAAATTATTTCATTAATAAAAGAGTTATATTGACATGTACAAAATATCTAATGGATCAATTAATATCATTTTTGTAATATGATTAATACGTGTAGGATCTTGGGTGTAAGGATAATTAGGATTTAGATAGATTTTTCTTATAAATATTAATTGTTCCAGCCATTTTTTTCTGTCTCAAGGTGCTTCACTCATTCATAACATATTTGATGCTTCAAATAAAAATCATAACATATTTGACTTATACAACATGCAAATTCAAGTATATTTTTTGCAACATGTAAATCAATTATATATCCTTGTTTAGTCTCCTTTAAAATAATATACTGAGTAGTAATCAAAAAGATTTATGCTTTATTTGAAAGAAAAATAAATATATGTTCATGTTATTATTGTTTCTTTTAATTATCAAGTCTTTTTTTGAGTGGGGATTGGGGTCAAGGTAATTTTATGAACTAGAATTATTCATAAACTGTAATTATGTTTCAAAGCCATCATTTGTGCAATGTGATTAAAGTTAAGTTTCAGATTTAAGCATGTTTAGATGGGTAAATGGGTCCCAATAATCTCCCTATGATATGGTCAATTATAAGATTGATTGTGTTTTATAACTTTCATTTGATTGATAATACAGATTAGACTAGACAAACTCAAGTTGTAGCAAATGTTGTGCTTACAAAAACTTTAAGAAAAAAAAAAACCATCCACTCACGAGGAAAGTTAAATACGGAGTAATATAATTCAAAGTCTCTCATAACTGGTAAAAACTTAGAAGTACGCTCAATTTAACTTTAATAAAGATAGACCTGATTTAATTTGATTCATTTAATTATTACTTCTTCGTTTTTAGTTAGGTCATCAATTAAATATGGTGCCACGCTATGCTGACTCAAATAAAGTTCTATATGCATTATTCTGTACCCTTTTTTCGCCATATATCTTATATCTGTGGAGTATGTAGACTATGTACCAATGTCACAAAATCCGCCTATACACGAGCTAGGTTAAATGAAACGCATGGAGGTATGAGGTACAAGGTTGTCCAAAATGAAAGTGCTTGAAAGAAAGCATAAATGATAGCTCATGGTAAATGTTTACAGATTTTGAGTCATAATAATAAATGACCTCTAACTTCCATATTGTCTAAGTACGATTTTGGACCTATGATAGTAAATATGGGTACCCATGAAAAATTCTGATCAACTAGCAGACGAAATTTTGCCTCATTGGTTAGTCCTTGCAAAGTTGCACAAGCTGTCAATATACACTTCATCCGTCTATTTTTCCCTAGGCTATATTCAACTTGTGTCTTGATTAGCACCGACCATTAATTTACTTCAATTTTTCTGATCGAATTTGATTAATAATGAGTTTCTTATACAAAATTTTTAAAAAGATTTTACAAAGCAAAATAAAAATACCAAACATTTGATTACATCATGGAATATTGTAATGAACGAATTCATTTTGTCGTGAGTTTTTCACCTTAAATTATGTTGTTTTGGAAAACTAATTAGCACAATTAGGGCTATACTCAGCTTATAAATTCCTTCTAAGGCAAACCAACTTATTGACTTACTACTTCCATTCAAAAAATTGACTTACTACTTTTCTTTAAGTTTTTAATTGTATTAGGGTCAATCACTACTCGCTAGTGGTCTGTTTGTTTCAACTTATTTTGTCTTACTTCGTTGTTCATATGTTTTATCACGAATAAAATAAGTTCAGATAAATTAAGTATAAATAAGATAATTTCATATCAAATAAAGCCTAATTCAATTTTCCACAAACAATCATGATTATGATAATTAAGGACAAAAAAAAAACACATCAATTGAATACATTATTTCAAACTCAAACAACCTTAACTTTTAAATATATAAAAAGCTAAATTAAATTGACAGCAGCTATAAATTAGGTATAATCATGAATATTACTGCAAACAGATGAAGTATTTACAGCTGAAATAGTAATAAAAATTCAGTGGCATTGGATTGTGATAACTCATAAAATAGTACACTCCACTACACTTCACTACACTACTCCAGTAGCAGTTCTTACAAAAAGTCAATAACATTATATGTAGCTCAAGAATACTACTTGTATTAACTTTATTTTCACTAAATTTTACTGCAGGCTGTTGTACATAAATATAAAAATTTCAGAATGAAAGGGCTTTTCAACTGACCAAAAAAAAAATGGCATCATTAAATATTTCTTTTACCATATAATAGTGTTTTTTTTTCAATGTTAAAAAAAATACTCTCTCGATTTTTTTATGTTTACTAAGGTCATATCCTTTTGAGCTTCTGGACAAAACAAAGCAGATTGAGTCAGTAAAACAGAATAACTCTAAAAAACAAAGCCTAAATTATCGTAAGTAACAAGATGTGAAAAAAAAAAGTATTGTATTAGGAATAAATATACTTTGTAGTAGGTACGGAGTATGATGGTAAAATTCTAGTTGCCTATAAATAACTAAAAGTAGTACTATAGACAAATTTAAACGGACATTATATATCGAGGTGAATCTTTGTTTTGGCTAGCAAGACCCGGGCCTAAATTTTTGTGTTGCTTATAAATGGATTAACTTTGACCTTATCTTTTTTGCCCAAGTTTCGCCATTAATTATATAAAGTAAATGGGATGAACATTAAAGAGAGCGTAACTGCAAAATTTACCTATGGTTAATTTAGTTGATGAATCTGTTTGACTGATTGGATGTAAATGTTATAGGAGTACTATGTTTAGGCTCCAATCAAATGATTAGAGAGAGAAAAGGAGAAATTAAAACTTTTTTTTTTTTTCCAATTTATTTATATTTGTTTGTTTCTTTTAGGGGTGATAATTAAAAAAATTGATGATTAAATAAGGCAAGAAGAGATGGAAAAGATTTTGGTGGCAGCTTTTGTGAAAGTAGTTGTGAATTGTGACTTAACTTTGGATTATCCGCTTTGAAATGTCATGTCCAAAGAATTGAAGCAATATACTCAGATTACAAGGGGTACCCTTTCCACTGTTAGCTCATCTGAATTTATTTATTTCACACTGTTTACTGTTTACCCTAATCATGCTGTTTCAATGTATGTATGCAACTAGCTTGGCTGGTTATTGACTCTTGGATATGAGCTCGTGAAGTCACTTTGTAGATTACTCGTAAAATTTTGACTTTTTACGTTGATTGAGTACTCGTGTGTGAATTTTGCAAAACAAATGTTATTATATGTATGATGAAAATAAAATGATAATTGATAATTACAAGATTAACGGTCAATGTATTATGGGGGTGATAAACATGTTTAATCAAATTAATGCGAGTAATAATTACAATTTGACATGTATAGAAATTGATTTGCGAAACTAATTTTATGATCTATATCAAGTAGCAGGGTTTCTCGGCTCGTCTAGCCTCTATGGTCAAGCTTGGCCTATGAGGAAGACAACCAAAGAAAGTCGAAATAGAGACGTGTCAATCATGAGTATGTGTCAATTCAAATCGATGTGAAGGTTTAATGGGGCAAGAAGATTAAGGCCAACCATGGGTAAGTATGAAGTACATTATTATTGGAATAAGGAACATGTGCATAAACCTAATAAAATAAGATGTGCATGAACGATAAGTATTTACTATTATATCCAAATAAAGATGAAATACTACGTATTACTTATCTGGTTAGGCATAGTGAAGCACATATAACATGGGCACTTTATGATTGTCCATGTAGTAGTGATACAACCTAATTGTGGTAAGTTATCTACAAATTTTGAACTTGGTTTTGGAGAAAAGTACAATTATTTCCTTTGAAACTTGTGTTTATGGTCTAAGGAAAAATTGAAGTATTGTGTACATATTATAGGTCTCAATTTCATATCCTTTAATCTCCGTCAAAAAATCTTCTCTTTTTTAAGCTTAGCACGATAGCGCCTACATTAGTGGTCCTTACGCCTAATTTCTTAAGGAAAACTTTTGTATACACCCGATTTTCAGTAATTTACTGTACATCGGGTACACTTTTGTCAGATTTAGTGTCACTTTTATCAAATTTAGTGTCACTTTTGTCAAATTTATCAATGAAGCATAAATAACTCATACATATCAAGGTAACTTTTATGCGTTTTAGTGTAACTTTTGCATATTTTATTGTCACTTTATAACGGATGTTCAGTAATTTACTGAACATCCGTTTTATTTAAAAGTTTGTGATTTCTTAATTGAAAGAAAAATATTGATTTTTTCAATTCTCGTCTTAGAAAATGAAATTTTTTAAAAGTTATTTAGTAAAATCAATTAAATACTTTTGCTATTTATAATTAGGTGGTTGGTGCACCATAAAAGATTATGAGAGTAAACTTATGTAAAAAAATTAGGCGAAGGGTAAATAAAATAATATTTTGTTTTAAGAAGGGTTAATAAAAAAAAAATTATCATATGAATTTTCACCTTTGGGGAAACTTTTGCATTTTTATTTCCTGTGCATTCTACTTTCAGTAAAATAGCTGAAAAACTTTCTTGTCTACCTCTTTTTGGCTAGCATAATTTCCAACTTATCATTCGTCGAAGTATACAATAGTACATTAGAAGATAAAGAGCCAGACAACTTTAGTTGTGAATCTCTTTGTAAGATTCGCTTTTCTCAAATCATTTCACTTGAGTAAATTTCACTGAATCATCTTTTAACTGGATTTATCTAAACCTTGCCTTTAAGTAGACTTTTGCTAATTAACTATTACTCCGTATTATAATACGCATTTGATGCATCATCATCAACTCTCTCCCCTATTCCCTCCATTTCATTAAGAGGTTAATAATTTTCGATTGTCAAACTTTAATTGTTTAAGAATATCATTATGTACATTATCAATATGTATCTTTATTAATGCACGAGATATTTATACGTATTATTAGACTTTATGAAGAAAATAATTTGAGTGTCAAAAGCAATGACGTCTTAATGAATATGAGGATGTATGAGAGTTACCCCTCTGAATATATGGTGTAGCCGACGTTTATAATTGGCATCAGCCAGAGATATCAAATGGTTTCAACTTTGAAGCTGCTAAGAAGTTCTCCAATGATTTATGGTTACAACCTAACATAATTATGCATATCACTTTTTCCTTCAGGTTTACATTATACACTTCCAGTCCATCCCAAAGGTTGCAGGCTTCGCTTCATGTAATTTATCTATGTTAGCAATGATGGGGTGATGGAAGTCAGACTGCCAATAGAGAGAACGATGCAAAGCGATGTACATCCATTGCTATGTTATCACCAACCCAAACGGATGCTTCAGTTATAAACTCATCTCTGCTGGGAGGCTAATTTCTAGAAAATACAGACTGCGAACAGCAAACCAACAAAATTCAGAAATAGCACGGATGAAGAGCAACAAGAACAGCAGGCAAAGCGTTCATTTGCAAAGCTACGGACACAGGCCTCAAAAATTACACATAAATAATGCAAGTGACATAAGGTATGAGTAATCTTCGATTGTCAGGAGGGTGTAGAAAGGACTGTATGACCACCTGACCAGGGGTTGAAGCTTGAGGAAGCACCACAGGGGTATTTAACATCAAGTACTCAACCTGTTAGCTACCCAAATGCCAGATTACCCGGGATTTTAGACACTTAAAATCCCGCCCAGTGACTCGACCTACGAATCCAACAATCCATTTTGTACGGCATAATAAAACTAAATGAATGTTACAGAGAAGTTTGTGCCATATCAAATATGAGGTCACATGTAGATGTCCAATATTATTCAGTCACACCCTAAATCTCCAAATTTTAATAAGTGGAAATGAACATATTTCGTATAATACATACACCGATACACATGCTAGGTAAGGAGATGTATTACATGGGCATTCACTAGTCATGTAATATGAAGCAATAGATATTTTTTATTAGCAGTTTGTTATTCTATTTCCAAAATATATCACCTTAGGTTGCTATGTGCAGGATTCTGAAAAAGAAAGCAAGCTAAACCCACAGATCTTAAGAAATCCATATCAGCCTGTCCTCCCCCTAGTCGTCCTCCCTTTTGGTTCTAGGACAGAAAGATGGAATCACACAAGTAAAAGGAGCATATAGGACACGAAGCCTAGACCATTTTTCCTTCTAGTCATCAATTGAAATCTTTCATATAATCTCACTCACATAAGTCACTTCATATTACTTACCTTGCTGACATAAAAGCCATGCCAAAGAAAACAGCCTTCACAGCTTGTTTCTGGCCAGCATAATCAAACGCCAGAGGCAACATCTCATGTAAGGTGAGGAAAGCCATCACTCCACCAACTGCCAAAACCCAAATTCATTAGAGAAAAGATATATGCCCAACCATTTTCAACAAATTTGATGCAAGTATGTACCTGATCCCAGAAGGCCATCAAGAATCTCAGGATTTAAACTGGTTGGGAATAGGTATGCTGCATCAAACAAAATCTGAACTATATTATTCATGTAAGATAAATGAAATAACACAACAGAAAGTATTACACAGATCGGGATATGCCAAGAATTTAGTTTCGTTCCATATGACCATACCTACAAGTATAACACCCAAGGGCTCCGCCAAACCAGAGAGTGATGCTATCTTAAATGCTTGCCACTTGCTGCAATGCATTAACAAACTAAATGAGGTAATTCTAAAACAAAAATAGTATCTTATGACAGCAGAAACATAGTTTGTGGCACAAGAACAAGCAATCACTGAGAACGGCATAATCTCCACCAAGCAACAACTCAAAATCTCTAATAAGTTGAATGTTAAGAATGAGCTAGTTATAAATTGAAAATGGGTACTTTCTTGATTTGTGCAGGATGGCAAGTTGGTTCACTTGGTTGACCAAATTACCTTGCACACCTAAATACCTAACAATCAAGTCCAGGTCGTTTGACCCCTTTAACTTTTAGGCTATAGGGAGATGCATCTTATACATGAGGTTTACCTTGTTTGTCTCTGTGTGTGTAGCGAGAGAAAGAGAGTTGAGAGAGGTGCCATCTTTAACAAAAATGTGCTCTTGTTCCAATCAAGTGATGCACACTAATAAAGCCTAAAAGACTTCTACATGCCACATTCACAACAGCGATATCACCTAAACAACTATCTGGTAAGTGGGAAGCTATTTTAAAAATTTCCTACCTTTGCGTTGCAAAGTAAACTGGAAGAGCAACAGCGACACCCTGTTCAAGAAAATAGGACATAATTCTTTAGTTTATGCATGTATCAGATAACCTTACTGTTGCATTTGCATATGCACAATCAAAATATGTATTAGAAAGGTACTCTCATCATTTGAGAGGATGGGCAACTATACCTCAGGAATGTTGTGCAGAGCAATAGCCAAAGCTAAATTAAGACCCACCCGAAGGCCCTGGAAAGGGAAAAAAAAAAGAAGACAAGATTTAGGGGAATAATTGAAGCATGAAGGTAGGTGTCTCTTCATGCCTGCAGCTCTGCAGCATTCACAAATTTTAGAGCAAAAGGAGCAAGCAGAAAACAGAATAACAAAGGTCATTATAATTAATTTCTGTAAGTGGCAATGATTTAGAGAACCATGCTGTAAAATGAATCTTACCAGAGAGAGAGAGAGAGAGAGAGAGAGGGAGAGAGAGAGAGAGAGAGAGAGAGAGAGAGAGAGAGAGAGAGAGAGAGAAGCAAACAAATAAAAGTTAAAGGAGAGGGTAGAAGCAGCAATGAAAGTCACATTTTCCAATCCTGAAGACTGAGACGCAAATAGATTACATACAGCATAAGATGAATATAATTGTTAGTTTGTTATGTTATGTTATGAAGGTCATAATTCACAGGTCTTTTACAGTTGGAAAAGAAAAGCAACATAATCTTGTCAACCAAAATGAGGTTGAACTACATGTCTAAAATCCTAACAAAGTCGGTAATGAAAGCGGAAGTAAAATCCTAACAAGCCTCAAAAAGATGGAAGCCTCGACTAGCAGTCCCCTCCTTAGAAAAACAAAGTCGAGAAACACAAAAATGGAGTCCAAAGATAAAATTATGAGATAAATTAAAATATCTTTCCATGCTAGAAGACTGGGTCAAGTCTCACTTGCACAGCAGAACCTTGTTTTGCCAGGATACCCCAGTTGATATTTTTCTACCAATTTTACATTTTTACCTCAAGGGAAGCAGTTGTTTGGATATTAAGCTAGGGAAAGGGAGGGAAGGAATGAGATGAATCCATTTTCCTTATACAAATGGTACAATTCTTCCATACATGGAAATGAAAGCAAGATCTTCACTTCCCCTCCTCTTCTTTCCCTTTACCTTCCCTTCCTTTCCCTTCTCTCCAAAATTAATTATCAATGGCAAAATATCATCAGGGTCTCGGTATAGTATCAGTACATATTAAGGCCATTTATGTTTGCAACAAAATCAGTCTCTTCATCTGTGAAAATTGATCCCCCCATCTTGAGATTCTTGACTCACCAACGATTTTAGATGTTTTTGTTTCCAGGGTGAGGATTTGGAAGATATTAATCGATATTCGTATGATCTAGCTGATTATGAATATTTTCTCTTATTAACAATTATAGCAATGGTTAGTAAGATTTCCACCTTGTATAAAGACAATTTATTAATCATAAATTGGTTATTAAAAATTGTTTTCATAGAAAAATTTAAATCTACATTTCCTTTTATAGAAAAACCAAAAAAAATTGATGAAACCAGGTGCTCGCTTATAGGCAAAGCTTATAAGCCGTAAAAGTTAGTCCTAGCATTGGAAAAAAGAAATAAATATATATGCACGAATCTAATTGTACCTTCATGGATCCAAGAAAAACTGCCATTCCCTCAGGGAAATTGTGCAAGCTGATACCTGAGAAATGAAGATTGACTCCTTATAAGTTCAAAATTAAGAACAATGTAGGCATATTTCAAGGCCACAAATATTACAGGAAAAAAAAGAAAATCAAGGTACCATCTATCAATTAGAATCTAGATTGAAGTTCATACATAAATGATGCAATGGTGAAGGAAATAGCATCATAGCTAGGGGAGCCCTTCCTAGTCCTTACCAAAAGGAAATAACATCATAGCTAGCATTATGATTAACTTCTGTAATTATATCTAACCTTTCACATTATCTACTCTAGAAAATACAAACACAATGAAAAAAGAAATGCAACAAGTCTGTTTAGAGTATACTATAAATCAACAATCTAGAGTTAGCTAGCAACTGATCACTAAGAACAGCTGAATTTGACATGCTCCATGAGCACTAGAACAGAAAAGCTAACGGCCTACAAGTGAACATACCTATGGCTGTTATTATGCCACTGTACATGACTTGTCGCCGATGCTTCTTCATTAAGTCCTTCCCTTTTTCTTCTCCGTTTGCCCGCTAACCTCCAGAAGAATATCAACAAACTTTTAGGAGGTTGGTCCAGCTTGAAAGTCTCAAAGCTTATTACAAAAATAGAAGAAACCAAGTGAATGCCATAAGTTACAGTTTAAAACCAAACTAACCTTTTTGCTTTTAACACTTGGAGTAGGAGTGAGTGTTGGTTCTGGGATGAAGTTGGCAATAATTGCAAAGAAAATGACACCTGCAAAGAACTACAGACAACTGCACAAAGTGACTACTCTCAAACAGTGAATGGGCAGATCATCTCCCCAATCTTCCTCAACAAAAGAAAATGAATGAAGGTAACTTACCCATAAATTCCCTTTCAAGAAGCCAATAGAGTTTATGGCATTGTGAGCCAGATCTAGAAATGATATGCTAAGCATAAGGCCTGCAGCGAAGCCCTACATGATTTAACAAAAACTTTAGGAATTCTTATACTGTTTAACAATGAAGCAAATCGAACAATATTCTCCTTGACATGCATAATTCCATTACACACAAATCTGAGAAGCATGTTCTTCACATATTATTGTACCCAAAAGTTAGGGCCAAGAGCTGCAAAGACTAAAAGTAGCCAGAATCCAGTAACCTAGATCTTTAAAGTATGTTGCATAACAGAAACAAAGTTATGCACCTGTAAGAGCCCAAGCATCTTCAAGTTTGGTGCGTCACTTAGGACTACAAAAAGTGCACCTGTTTGACACCCCATATAGCAAAGTAAGCTTTCTCTCATAAAACAATTCTAGAATCAGGATCATCATCCATCATTAAGATATTGCACGACAAGGTAGAAAATATAAAAGATCATGATCCTCAGTTCAAACAAGCGGAGGTGTGATGTAAAAAAGTAGATTTAGTAGATGAAAAGGGGTCAAGAAGGTTTTAGAACCAGAAACAAATAAAATTAGAATCATGCTGTAATCTATACATGAGTATTTTTAGCAATTTAACGCTAACCCACCCATTGCAGCTCTATAGAACCACAAAATTAGCAGTACTCGGAAGTTGGAACAATATGAATTTCAACAAACTCCAAAACAGCTGAAAGATTGGCGTAAATACATCTCAAGGGTCAGAACACCTACCCGAAATTAGTATAAAACCATATGCAGAAAGTTAACTTTCTAACATACATAGGGTACACTGATTAGATATGGTTCATGATGAAACACCTCTCGTTCGAGCTCCACAAGTCCACAACCCATCTAGTCACAATTTTCAAATTCATCACCATTTTAACATTGCAGTAATTTATGTTAAGCTTGTCAATTGTAATGCTACCCTATTATGATCACATTGTCGAAATCATCTCTGTAACAAAACCACAAGGACTAATACAATATATAAATGTCTCCCTTAACAGCATATAGAATCCCTGTTGTGACACCAATACCATTGCCATAACAAAATTATTAAAAAATTAATTAATCATATACTTTTCGTCTCCTCCCCCGCCCTGCCCCAATCCTTCATTACACTAACCATTTACTCTTACCAAAATCAATCTTACAACTAGGATAACAAGAATAGCTCTATTTTATTAACACCCACGTTCTTGCATAACCAAAAACCTTTAACATTACACTATAATTACCAAAAATCAACTACATTATTCATATACTGTAACAAATCAACATTATAATAGCATGGATTTAAGAATAATCAGTTACAAATAATAAGAAATTGAGATATAATAAAACATTATAAAATTGAGTCAAAATTGAAAATTCATACCTAAGGATGTGCTCAACCCCCCAACAAGTGAGAGCGCAAGAGCAACCAAGACTTGAGATTCCATAGCTCAATCAGAAGCAACAGCAACAGCAATGGCAGCAATCCTTAAATCCAACGGTCAAAATCCACAATCCAAAAACACCCAGATACTAAATTCTTGATTTCCTGAATAAATTTCAAAAACCCTTGAAAATCACACAGATTTAAGAGAAATTAAGAAGTGGGGTTTCAATTTTGATGAGAAATTGGATGTTTTGATTAAACCCAGAACCCCTTTTCGACAACAAGAGAGAAATGAAAAAGGGAAGTATATAAGGGGTGAAATGGTGAATAAGTGAATCAGAAAAAGGCAACCCAATGTTCGAGGGAGAATCAGGAGAGATTATGTAGAAGAAAGGAAAGAGATGGGTTGGTTAGGTGGTCCAAGTCCAACATATTTAAATGAAGTTGTGAACAGATGAGAAAGGAATTTTCTTGTAGACAAGGTAAGACTTTAGTTTTTGTTCAAACTTTTTTTTTTTTTTTTTTTTTTTTTAATCATAAGCAATTACAATAATTCTTGTGTAAGGACGGTGTAAGTTAATTTATTGTAAAACGGTTAGTTTGAGAGTAACTTTAATTATTTTTATGGTGACTTTAATCCCAAAGGGTAATTTTTAATTTATCATTGATTTGAATTTTATTTTAATGTGTAATTTTTTATAGATTCATGATTACACACTATAAAGGCTAATATGATTAATCTAATACATTATAAGTTTCTTGTAAGATAAAATTTATTATTTGAAAGATAATAACTTTTGCAGTATAAATGGTAACTTTAAATACTTTTAACATAACTTTAACCCATCTTACAATAAATTAACGTACACCTGTCTTTTTGGAGAATTTGTGAAGCAATTAAGCACTTACTTCATCCGTTTCGTAATAATTGCAACATTTTACTTTTATATTTGTTTCATAATAATTGCAACACTTTCATATTTTATAAGAACCCACACTATTTTATTATTTCTCTATCGTTCCAACTTCACTTACACTACTTTTTTTTTAAAAAGAAAAAAATATTTCTCTCTTCTATTAACAATTAAATATATCTCCACTAACTATCCTTTATATTATAAATTTCCCCTTTTGGTCCCTTCCCTGTAATTTTCCTAAAACTTTGTGCAACACTAAGGGTGTAATCTATTCACCTGATTTTCACTTATTTGAACTTATTAGACCTTATTAAAACTTATTTTAGTTGTAATTTGTACTTGGGTAACCCTTATTAAAACTTATTTTTCCTTAATTGAACTTATTACACCTGAAATAAGTGAAAATGGGGTGAACAGAACAGACCTTTAGTGTTGCAATTATTATGAAACAAAGGGAGTAGTAGAAAAAAGTGATGGAAGTTTTTTGTATAACTTTTTGTTATGGAGTATTAGGTTTCAATTTATCTGACTTTCACGTATTATAATTTATCTGAATTTTTCTGAACTTATTAGACCTAGTCACAACTTCGGGAATTTTGTCTAGAACTACCCGCAACATAGGGTCATTTGTGAACAACTACCCATTTTTTTTTATTTGTATACAACTACCCGCAAGTTTGAAAAAGTTTGGGTAACATTACCAATTAACGTTTTCCATAAAAAAAACCGTTAGTGGGCCCCACATTGTACACGTGTTAATTATTTATTGGATAAAAAAATTTAAAAAAAAAAAGTTAAAAAAACCAGCCACCCCAACCACCGTGAAACCCTAGCCCCTACCCCCAGCCACCACCAAAAAACCGGCCGGCTGCGCTCCTTAACCTCTGAAAATGGTCGACCACCCACCCTTCACCCCAACCCGACACCTCTACCAGTCCCACGACCCTCCCTCTATCTCCTTCGACCCACGACCCACACTAGGGTCACTCGTCGCACCACCCTCTCTCTCCTTTGACGAGCCACCCAGATTCGAACCACCTTTCCCCAAACCCAGACCCGAAACCGAATCCCTCCTTACCCGAAATCGAAACCACCACCTACAATCGAAATCGGGTCAGTGTTCAAAATGGTGTGCGATGGTGGGTTTTGGTGTTGTCAGAGGATAGAGAGGGAGGAGAGGCGGTGGTTAGGGAGGGTTCATGGGTCCTGGGTTAGGGTCGCCTGCAGTTTAAGGGGGTGGCGGTGGCTAGTAGGTTTGGAGATGGTGGTGTGGGTGGCTGATTGGTGGTTAGGGGTTCCGGCCGACAGTTTCGGAGGTTTAGGGTGGCGGCCGGCCGGTTTTTGGTGGTGGCTGGGTTTTATTTGTTTTTTTTTTTTTTTAATTTTTTTATCCAATAAATAAATGACATGTGTACAATGTGAGGCCCACTAACGATTTTTTGGATGGAAAACGTTAATGGGTAGTGCTACCCAAACGTTTTCAAACTTGCGGGTAGTTGTAAACAAATAAAAAAAATGGGTAGTTGTTCACAAATGACCCTATCTTACGGGTAGTTTTTCACAAAATTCCCCACAACTTATTTAATTTTAAAATTTTTTATCAAAAAATTATTTTTCAAGAAATTATTTTTTCTAAAAATAATTGGAAGTAAGGTGAATAAAATATAACCTAAACTATTTATTTGAGAATTATTTCATAATCGTAGAAATTTGAGTGAACGCATATACAATATGCATCTTATACAGTACTCAAGATGTATCAATAGTTTAAATATTAGTCATGTAATAACATATGACTACAAGTTTTATGTAATTGAGCATTCTTCATGCATGGTTTTCTGTTAATTGGTCATGTCACATGTCATACAATTAACAATTAAGTAGTAGTTAAGAGTATTTTCATCATCTATGACACCCTGGTGTTATAGTGCTTAATGCCTTAATCATACCTAACTTCTCAGCATTGCATTACTACTATACAGTTCAACAAGCAACTATTTGTTTTGCAAAGGTTGTCCCACCCCACTCTAATATTGGGCCGGAGACCTGGCATGTAGCCCATCAATGTTCCAAGAGTCCAAGACTCTCAACTTTCAAACTCACTGGCTGATAGATACACTCCGGTTCAATGTAGTCATGGGACAAGGCATGTATTTAATACTCCCTCCGTTTTTAAATATTTGCTCCATTTTTTCATGTGCGGAGTTTTACAAGAAATTGGAGAAAGTACTAGTAAAAAAATATGGAGGTAGTGGGAAAGTGGAACAATAAAAATTATAAAAAGCAAAACTAGTTGAGAAAATTAGAGGAGAGAGAATATGAAATTAATAAAATATGATTTATATTGGGTCCACTAGTTGAGAAAAATGAATTAAATATTGTAAAAGCGTTCCAAATAAAGAAATGGAGCAAATATTTAAAAACGACCGAAAATGGTAAGTAGACAAGTTTTTAAAAACGGAGGGAGTAAGTCTTGTAGGATTCCTTGAGAAGCATGAAAAGTGTCTCGATACTTAACCTCGTCGAGTCCAAAAATGCTCTTTACAGGCAAAATTGAAAGCTATAATATGCAAAATCAGACTAATTTTAGAGATTATTAGGATTTGATGTTGATAACTTGAGTAACGGTGGGAGATGCATTTTAGGGTCGTATATATATAGGTTGTTTGGAACCCTACACACCCACTGGTCTATCACGTAAAGACTCGGGGTGACTTTGGGTTAACGACAGGATGAATTTTCTTAGATTCACTAAACCTTAATTAGGGCAATGAAGTGAAAATTCGCTTGAAGTAATGATCAATTTTTTCATACTAATTAAAATGAAAGTAGCATAGACAATGATTCCAATAATTAAAAAGTTACATATACTCTTCTTCCTTTATTAATTTCCTATTTATAGGAAGATTTTTCAAAATATTATGTACTCTAAAATAAGATAAAAAAATACCAAAAAGAAAAAGAAAAAAAAAAAGGTAATTACTTACATGTAGACAAAATTAAGTTGGTATCCATTTACAAGCATATACACTACTACGAACGGGGCACATGCTTAAGGAATGGAACCAAACGTTGCTGGTTTTGATTCCAAAGGTTAAGGTTCCAGAGCTCGCAAATCATTTCAGACCAATTAGCCTGTGCAATACGATTTACAAGTGCATTGCAAAAGTGTTTGGTTAATAGGCTCAAACCAATTCTACCTAGTCTTATCTCAGAAAACCAGCATGCTTTCATCCCAGGGAAGTATATGGAGGACAACATTCTTCTTAGCCATGAACTCATGCACCTCATCAATTCAAGAAAAGGCTCAGATTACACAGCAGTAAAAATTGATATGTCAAAAGCTTATGACAGGGTAGACTGGCTTTTTCTCCTGAAAGTGTTGACAGCATATGGTTTCTCTAACCACTGGATAGGGATGATATCACAGTGCGTGTCAACGGTAAGTTTCAAAGCACTCATCAACAGGAAAACCTCGGGACACTTCGCCCCAAAAGGCGGCTTGAGACAAGGGGATCCTCTATCACCGTATCTCTTTATTCTTTGCATGGATATTCTGTCAAGAATGTTGTCTCTGGCGGAGGATATTAAGCTAATCCAGGGGCTAAGAGTGTCTCGCAGGTCACCGTCAATTTCGCATCTCTTCTTTGCTGATGATGCGATGCTCTTCTTCAAAGCAACGGAGGAGTCCTGCAAGAGCATTTCAGATATTCTGCACAGGTATGGCAAAGCTTCTGGGCAACAACTGAATTGTCAAAAATCTTTTTTAAAGTTCTCTCCGGGGGTTGATGGTGAAAAGAAATCCCGTACCAAACAACTTCTCGCTATGACGGAAACTGAAAATATGGGGACCCATTTGGGGGCTCCGATAGATATCCAGGGAAAGAAGAGCAATTTTTTCCAAAATTTAGTGGACAAAGTGTCGGAGAAAATCATCTCATGGGCTCCGTTGCGCCTATCGCAAGCGACAAAGTTAATTCTGATCAACACTGTGTTGGTAAATATGTCGGCGCATGTTATGAAATGTATGAAATTGCCCCAAAGCATAACGAATAAGATTGACTCACTGATTACTCGGTTCTGGTGGTCAAGAAATGGGAACAAAGGATTACACTGGGTAAACAGGAGTACCATCCAACTCCCTAAGAGCATGGGAGGGGTAGGGATTAGAGGTTGCTCAAACCTCAATGATGCCCTCCTCTTCAAACAGGCAACAAGGATGCATCTCAACCCTCAACTTCTACTGTCTAGAGTGCATAAGGGCTTCCAACCGTGCAACATATGTAATATTGCCAACCCTTACATAAGGAAAGGGAACCCATCTATGGGAAGGTCTAGTCTTCAAAAAGTAACATATACCTTCAAAAAGGGTTTTGCTTGGAAAGTGGGTAATGGTAATGACATCAAGGCTTTTGGGGTGCCTTGGGTGAATGGGGAAATTCCCATTGTAAATTCAAGACAGACTTTGAGAGCAACCATGGATTGGAGGGTGAGCGATTTTATCAACAGAGATACTAACACCTGGAATGCAGGTAAAATAAGGGAATGTTTTGATTGGAACAGTGCAAGAGAAATACTTGCTATGGAGCTACCACCGGTAAGGAAAGATGACTTTACCTACTGGAAACACCACCCCTCGGGAGAGTACTCAGTTAAAACCGGGTACTACTTTCTATCAAAAGAGATAGGAGAGGAGGGTCTCACGCTCTTAGAAAGGGACCAAATGTTTGTGAAACTGCTTTGGAAAATGGGCATCCAGCCAAAATGGAAACTGTTCCTATGGAGACTATTCCATGATGGCATTGCAGTCAAATCAAATCTGGCCAGAAGGGGAATACAAGTTGAGACCACTTGTAATCTATGTG